CACACACACACACACACACACACCACGTAGGATTTTCTCCAAATCAAAGAATACCAAGCAGTCAGTGGACACCTAGGACTGCTGAACAAGGAAGAAACTGTACGCAAAAGATGAAGGGCAGCAAATTAGTGATGTCTATAGTGGTTACAAGTTGGGGTGCTAACCACAAGGTCAGCAGTTCAAAATCACTAGCCCCTCTGTGGGAGAAAAATGAGGCTTTCTACTCCTCTAAAGAGTTGGTCTTGAAAACCCACAGGAGCAGGTCTACTCTGTCTGACAGGATCACTGTGAGTCAGAATTGACTCACTGGCACTGAGTTTTTAAATTTTTAATAAATAAACAAATATATAGATATGGCACACCCAAACTTCAGTACATAAGTCATAGCCAAAACTCACTCTCTCATGAAATAATAGACTCTACCTTCTTGGGGGGCCAGGCAGTAGAATGATAAGCCTTTGTTTGCTTTGGGACAGAGACCACTGAATCAAAATCTAAAAGGCTATGTTTAAGCTATGTCACTCCGCTAATTATTTAACCTCAAAATTTCTTTTATTTTTTTTTCCCCACGTGTAAATTGCAATCATAATGCCTGCTCCTCCAGCTCTTTCTAGGATTAGCTGAAATAACACATGCCAAGTTGCTGGCACAATCAAGACTCAACAACTCATTGTTTTGCGTCTTCTTTCTGTCAAACACTGGGAACTAGGAGAAGGGTGCGTTTACTCATCTATTCAATCCTCCGCCTACTCTGAGTGATTTAAATTCACATGGAACAGGGAAGGGAGCAATGGCAAGTCTTTAGGACTCTGTAGTCTGTGGCAGCCCCATGCACCTACATACCAGGGCATCGCTTATTCCCGCCGATTCCAATTCCCTAGGCCTTTTCCCTCTTTGGTGGTGCCTGTAGTCAGTGCCTCTCGAGAGCAGGTGGGCTAAGTCAGTGATCCGGCCTCTGCCACCTTCTGGTACCCTTTCTGGACTGTCTGTAAGTGGATACGAGCACCCTCTATG